TCCGGTTACTTTAATTATCTGACGAAGATAGTCATTTATTCAGCAGCGTAATTGCATTCTACAAAAACTGCATGTGAACGGACAGGATAAGCGAAAGTGAAGAAGACTTCTGGTGAGATTTATGGAATCGCTCAGAAGAAGATGTACACAGAAAAACCATACCCTTTTACTTTACTGAGTGGCCAATAACCACGTAGAAGAAAAGGTAAATGGAACAATATTTGACATCTTCTTCTCCATAGAAACGCTTCAACCATGCTAAGCGAGCTAACTGCCACACAGGCTAAGATAACCGTTAACTATACCTGTTTTATCATATACTGCATACGAAGTACGATCAGCACTTGTAATCAGGCGATGCAGCTGTAAATGACTTTCGCCCAGCTCGTTGGTCTGAAACTGAAAGTTATTGATCAGCTTTTTCATCAACGCATAACAGCTGTACAGACTGAGTCAATGGGCACGGGCAAACATCAGATGTCGAGCGATCTCATCGAGTGCCTAATTCGTAGCTTGCTCTTAATTATACTGAAAACTTGAGCAGTTCGTACAGTGCGCGCGGAGTACTACGGGGGATTAAGTCGAGTAGTGCATGCAAGCTCTTCCTCTTCAACGCGTCTCTCCCCTTTCGTGAGGTAAGCGCGAGCGGTGGCCCCCGGCCAATGCGGTCGCCGTGCTCCCTCCGATTTTTGCCCTGCGCGGCATGCACGGCTCGGCCTCCAGTGGAAGGCTGTCTCTTCCTGCTGCTACACTCGTGTCCCCGCCGGTGTTGCCATTCGGGGAGGAATCACGACGACGGTGGAGACTGCGCAGAAAGTAGTCCACGGCGTCCGAACAATTGACTCGATCGTGACGGCGTCGAAGGTCGCCTCCGGCGCCGCTTGGGGCCTATCGTCAGCTCCGGCCGCTTGACAAGAAGCTAATAGGGGGCCAAAGCACAACCACTGTATCTTAGCCGAGCCATCCGGTAGGTGATATGGTCGAAACCGGTACCGCTTGCAGGCCATAGCGGCGCTGCAGCTCACACGTTGAAGTGCGTTGACGGCTATAGCCCCGAGCCGTGGCCTTAAAGGAAAAGCAGAGACTCGAGGAAAAAGATGTCGATCTTGTTCTAATGTACCGTCGGGAACAAAGGTGCCCAGGAGATGAGAGATGCAAAAAAAAACTGTCTCTCTATGACACAATTCTGCCTGACGCTCGTCAAGAAGGCAAATTATTTATCACTTTTGTATAGCGGTAAAGCATGTCGTTGTTCATTGTCGTGGGCAAGTGACGAATTGCCTTAGATTCACAAAGACGTGGCGAACAATAACATTCATGACCTCGTGGTTATTAAGATATCCTTAAAGCTTTTGATGATTGTAGGAAGCGTATATTTATGACATGCAGTGTCACTTTCGCATATTGCCTAAATAATTCAACTCCCGAGAATCGGAATCGTAGATAAAGAGCGTACGAGAAAAAAATATCTTGGCATTGCCCTTCTGTAGTTTGAGTTGCTGCATTTTTTTTTGTCAACGCGCACATGAATAATCACATAGCAAGCAAATATCAGCCTAAACCAGCACTTTTATGGAACATTAAGTGGAGGCAAACCGCAGAAAAAACGTATGCTCAATCACAATACTGCCTGAGTACATTAGACTCATGAAGTAAACCGTAGATGACGTTGGTTGCGGATCCCGCGCAATTTCTTCAGTTCTAGCTGTGCACATTGAACTCTAGTCAATGCGGAGTTTTACTGTAGCGAGAAACAACAAACGCAAGGATATAACGTTAGCGTTAGCGTTGCGTGCTCCAAACTGAGCATGTGCAGAACGTTATCGTAGCCTGAGCTTATATTAAGTACGAGCGCTATTTCTGAAATATAGCATTCAACACAAACGCAAGCAGGAGATGCCGTACTTAAAACAAGGTGGCGGTGCCGGTTGAAGTGAGAACCGTCCTCCTCGAACTTTTATAGTCGTCAACCTGCATTGTTAAAACCCTTCATTCCCAAATACTGCTCGAACTTGATTTAGATCCGTGTAATGAGGCTTCGAAAGCTGTGTACTTCCGATAAAAGAGCTACGTTATTGAGATACAAAGTGGATTTGGGTGCACAAGGCTTAATATAACCTTTATCATAGGTTATCTCATGTTTTTGGTAGCCGAAAAAAGATGGCCCCACTGTGTTCATTTGCATGTTTTTAAGATAAGGCAAATTCGGCCACAATTCAAGCTAAGTCAGGTAAGACGGGTCTTGAGGAATACTGGATCATGACATATGTCGAACGAAAATGATGAGTTTCGGGCTAGCTGTCGACGCACGCTGAACCAAACGCGGCACGGAGCCGCAGCAACGATGACTCTGGGTCAACTCGATTTAGTGGCGCACTTGAAGTTTTTACAATGGTTGTGGTAACAAATTTAACAATGGCTCCGCCAAATTTGTGGCCTGGGCTATAGGCCATCTCTGAGGAGGACCGGAGACTCTCCTCGCCGCCTTGTTGGAGGGCCAACAGTTGATTCTAGAGGTTGGAGCTGCGCTGCGCAGCCGTCCACCACGCCGCAGCCTCATCTACGTAGATTGCTTTTTATTCTGCTAAAGCTGCACATTCCCAGAGAATGTGCCTAAGCGATGTGCGAGTCCAGTCGCACAATTTAGGAGTATCATCTGGATAGAGATCTGGGTATATCCTCTCAAAATAAATTGGGCTAGGGATGGTCTGGGTTTGTAATCAAATTTCCTCCAATATACAGCAGTGCATATATTGTTGTTATAACTATAGATGACGCCGCATACGTGCTTGCGTTTACGTTAGCGGGAATGCCTTTCACTGTACTAAAAGCGCATCAGTTGGCATGCATGTCACGCGTTCCGTTCTAGCGATATCTCTGAGACGCACGCTAACGCTTACGTAAGTGTCTCCCGATATACTAAAACTATCTAATTTCTATGGGTGATTTAACGTAGCCATTGCCTGAAATCGGCATCAATAGCAAGCAGTCCAGAACTGACAATCTGTAGATTCTTTACTGCCTTTAAGCAATAGAGCAGCGTACCACTAATACGATTCGAACAATGAATACATGTTTAAATGATTGATTGATTGATATGTGGGGTTTAACGTCCCAAAACCACTATATGATTATGAGAGACGCCGTAGGGGAGGGCTCCGGAAATTTAGACCACCTGGGGTTCTTTAACGTGCACCCAAATCTGAGCACACGGGCCTACAACATTTCCGCCTCCATCGGAAATGCAGCAGCCGCAGCCGGGATTTGAACCCGCGCCCTGCGGGTCAGCAGCCGAGTACCTTAGCCACTAGACCACCGCGGCGGGGCCATGTTTAAATGAGCAGAAATCACTATCACGACTGGTCTTCTTAGAACGACATGCCTGTAGCAGGATAACGTTGAGACCATCGCAGTGGAGCTGAAGCCTTCAGATTTGTCTCTCATGCTCGATTAGCACGTCATCACATTTTCAAGATAACAAACAACAATGCGACGTTTTCGTTTATTTTGCCTTGCTTACAATACCGATTGTGATGGTAAGGCAGCACCACCATGTCTAACGGTTTACCGTTAGATGTAGCGTAAGGTATAGCTTGTTATGCAGTACACGCGTGTGCTAGTTACACGCCCGATTGCATAAACTTTCAGCACTCTGATGTAGTACTGCGGCAGCTAATGAACTCGCCTTGTTACTTTAGCAGTAATACCACGAGCGGGTCATGAATGTGGGAACGCAGCCTTTTCCTGCAGCTGCGCAATTCCATTCACGTCCAGCCAGAAGCAACACGGTCACAGCAGGTTCACTGACACTGTGCCCGCGCCTTGCAGGAAAGGATTAAATGGCCTGTGTGCCGCCACCGGAAAGATGGAGGAGATAGAAGCGTGCAAGAAGGAGAGAAAGAGAGATAGAGATAGAAAAAAAAAAGAGAACTGTCTAAATGAAGAACGAGTGGACATAAAACGGTTGGGCGACGACGACAACTAGGGAGCGACAGAAAGACCAGAAGCGCTAGCCGGATGCTGTCCCAGATGCATCAAGGTCAGCGTGGTATAATAAAATAAAGTGCTGTAGCCTGCTTGCTCGGCAGAGGCGATGCATTGATGGACGAGCTCGTGGAACCCTGTTGGGAGAGCTTCGCGCCCGGCACGTTTCGATAAACCGGGCGTAAGCATTGCCAATGAATCACGATTCTTCGCCCCGGCTGGCCGAAAGTAGCGTGGCAACAGGTCATCTGATATAGCTCGTGCGTACGCTCTGTTGCGCGTCCATACTTGGTACGTGGGTTGTTTGTCACCTCGTCCGGGATTTCTCACTCTGCGTGCGCTATCGGCTGACGGTTCACTTCAGATCCTGCGTATCGGGAGTGCCAAACAAGACATTGCTCAAATGAATTTTTCTTCTTCTGTATCGTCATCATCAATTTATAAGTCCATGCCCCGCCGTGGTGGTCTAGTGGCTAAGGTACTATAAATATTTAGGCTGCTGACCCGCAGTTCGCGGGATCGAATCCCGGCTACGGCGGCTGCATTTTCGATGGAGGTGAAAATGCTGTAGGCCCGTGTGCTCAGATTTGGGTGCATGTTAAAGAACCTCAGGTGGTCTAAATTTCTTGAGCCCTCCACTACAGCCTCTCTCATAATCATATCGTGGATTTGGGACGCTGAAGCCTACATATCAATCAATCAATTTTTATGTCCAAAGCAGGAACAAGGGCTCTTCCACTGATCACCAGTTTGCAATGTCTTGCGCAAGATGAATTCAATTTATATCTGTGCTTTAATGTAAGTTCAACTCTCGATCAGCAAAGCTTCGAAGTGTGAGCCGGAAGAGAAGAAAATCATTCCCGAATCATCAGAGTTCCACATTAAATAAATATAACAAAAGCTACTGGCAGGAACTTGCCTTCTCGAGATAATTATCAGTTGCTAGATGAACGAAGCGAAATGAACTTCCGATCACTGGGCATGAGATGGAGCGTGCAAATGGGTTTTGTACGTACGTTTCTTCACGCCTTCGGGGCGAGTGGGCGGTGGTCGTGACCCGCCAGTGACCAGCGGCAGGCAGTAGCCAAGGCAGCGGCCAAGGCAGCCAGGAAGCACTCGAAGCACTAAAACGAAGCCACGCTGTGTCGTGTCTCACCGCTAAGTTCCGGTGGAGGGGTTAAAGATTGGCCACTACTGCCTGCTGGTGACAAAAGGAGTGATGGGCAACGCTGGCACACGATGCTGCGGCTGATTCGACGCGGACCGCCGCGGCAGGTCCCTTGCCCCGAGCGAGAGATAGTAGGCTCCGTGTTGTTGGCCGGTGGCGATGCTCTTTCTGGCGCTCCAGACGGGCCGGCCAAGGCCACCGCCTCCTCCGTGGCCGCAGGTCCCCCCTCCTCCCCCCGCCACAACGCTCTTCCTCATCTTCCTCCTCGGCCCACTCCCATCCCCCCACCCTGGCATGGCCGACAAACAACGGCTTCATTGGTTGCCCTCCCTCCATCCGCCGTTGATCGTTCTTCCTTCCTTCCTTGCTCTTGCGGTGGTGGAAGCACCCGTTGGCTTCATCACCCCTTGTGTTTTCGGCGAACCTGTCTCCACAGAGGCGGCGGCACCTTATTCAGCATTCTTACGGGGCTAGTCGAAGAAGGAGAGGCCACGCTCGCGAGGGTTTTTCAGCGAAAATGCTTGTTGACCGCGAATCAAACGGACTTCGGTTAGGTGGGTGACACATTCGAAATTGAGTTCAGGGTAGACGATGGGAAATTTTTGCTCGAAGATTGCTGCATTGGGGCTGATCTTCATATTCCATGCGTATCACAGGGGTGCGCGTTGACCTCATAGGTACGATTTCATTTTACTATCTGGTTTTGTTCAGAGGGTTACCGCTTATTCGCATTACTGAAGTGAGGACTCTGCTGACCTACTTGAACTTGTTGAAGTGAATGAGGTGGAATTGATTATTCGTGCAACGTGTCAACGTAGTTAGATAATTAATGCCTTATGCGGGACGCGATAGATTTGAGAAGTAAAAAGAAAAAAGACCGCGTAGTGACAAAAAAGATGCACCTAAAAATAACTTCCGCACTATATGCTGGAGGATGGAGCGGTAGTCGTACGTACGTTCGGAGGTAACTGTGTTCAGACACGTTTCTTGGACCGTTTAGGTCATAGGAACAAAATCTACACTCTTAAAAAAAAGTTAGTAAAAAGGTAGTAACTGCAAGCGAACAGGTAGTAACGACAACGGTTACTACCTTTCCTGAACCGTTCCTAGCTTCTTCCTACCTATTTACTACTTACATTAGTAAACAGTTGCAACCTAACTGCAATAGGGTAGCAACTGCAGCTGTTACTACCTCTCTTGAATTTTTACTACCTCTTTGCTACCTATTTACTACATACATTAGTAAGCAGTTACTAGCTGCATGCAAAGAAGTATAGTAGCTGCAACGTTTACTACCTCACTTGAGGTATTACTAACTTTTTCGTATTCTTGTTAGTAAAGAGTTGAAATGTTGAGTAGTTGAAGGTATTGAAATACAAATTCTATACTTGATCACGGTCTCTCTCTTCACCAAGCCCAGGGGTGGTTCATGACCCTTATATATATATATATATATATATATATATATATATATATATATATATATATATATATATATATATATATATATATATATATATATATTATTCGAAGGTCGTTATTCGAAGGTCGCAGGTTCGGTCCCTGCCCACGGCAAAGTTATTTTTTCACCCACTTTTCTTTCTTCACGTTTACATTACAATTTGGTCTAATACCTTTCCCTATACTTTCCTCTTGGCATTATTGTCTGTTAGATCTCATTATTATTGTGTCAAAACACGCAAACACGAGCCCTTAATTATACACTTCTTTCCCTTATATATATATATATATATATATATATATATATATATATATATTATATATATATATATATATATATATATATATATATATATATATATATATATATATATATATATATATATATATATATATATATATATATATATATATATATATATATATATATATAGGCACCATGTGTAAAAAACAGAAAATATTCTATAGGTGTAAATTTTCACAGCTGTACATTTGCATAACTCTAAGCTAACAGGCCCTAAGCCGTAACTTTGTGGCTGCCCATTGTGTTTCATGTTGATTAACCGAAATTGTTCGCTGAATGATAATATTTCGGTTGCAGTTGAAGGTAGCAATTTCACATTAACAGCAGATGTGCGCATCAGATAGTCCAAAGTAACAATCATATCAATTATCCGCTCCGGATACTACTAAATAAACAGAGCAATATGTAACAAAGTAACCATGCACAATGCGTTTCACTATAAATGTGGTGGATATCATTTAATTTGTTATCACACAAAGTGCCATGCGCTCTGCAGCAATACAGTGGGAAGAGACCAATAACACTGATAAAAGAAAAAGAATGTAACAAGCTTTGGTTAGAAAACAGTAGATGAAAGGGTGCATCAGGTACAGTAAAAGATAAATACAGTAAAGACAGCACACTAGAAACCATACACTAAAAGAGAGATGTAACATAAAATCATACGTCATCTTCAGTTGCGTAGCCAGGGAGGACATTTCCAAATACACAAACTCCAGAGCAAAAATATATGAAGTATGACTGAAACCCCTCTCCTAAAAAAACATTGGCTACGCTACTAGTAGTTTAGATTCAGCCCGTGACAAAAAGCTGTCTAAGATGACAATTTGGACATCATTCAACAATCATAATTTCAGGCCGTAGCATCAGCTCAGCACCAAAATATAGGTCAAGAACTTGAGGTGATGGAAGATTGAAGGGCTGTACAAGTTTTTGCTCGTCTGTATTGTCGACAACATACGACCAGCGGTGACGATCGAATCTGACTGTCATGAGCACATCTACAAGCAGGAAAAGGCTTCCGCAGTAAATATACAGCCTTCTTATTTGGCCAAAAAGTGGCAGCTGTTGCTTCTCTAGGATGACTACATCGAACTTTTTGAAAACCAAGTTTTCCACCTCGGCAGAACCAACTTCCCACACTGGAATGCCAGGAGAGACAACTTTGCGCATGTATGAGCACAAGTCTTCTAGCTTCAGCTGCCTGGATCTTTTAGTCTGTATGCCACGGTCCACTTCTAAGTTGGAAAATTCGAAACTCTGCAGCAACTGGTGTCTTTCTGCGATAGACTTGCATATATTTCGAAAGTTTTGGTTGCGCTGTGCAATAGTTTTCATGTACTGGTGTTTGGCTTCATATCGCATGCACCAGTATTGCTTTAGTGGACCAAGTTCACTGATGAGCCGAGGGTAATGAATCAAGAAATGCAGTTTGGGTATTATTGCACCAGGGTAGAGAGCAGCAAATGAAGATAAAAAAAATCGTATTTCATCTTGCAGATATGCCAAATGGTCGTGAGGAATCTTGTCGGCAAATGTTATATCTGCAATGCTTCTCAGAAGTAGGTACACTTCCCAGTGCTCATTTTGTTTAGGAACAATATCTGCAAACATAAGAGAAAAAAATCTGAATAGGCACCACTTTTGAGAAGCTGTTCCCTTGTATGCACTTTGCCCATTAAGAAAGGATTTCACGACTTCTTCCGGTTTGTTCTTTTTGTCGTGAGCACCAAAAACGAATGTGCGGATACGATCAAGGTCTGAGTGCCTAATTACTCCAGAACGAAGCAGGCCTTGCAAAATGTGCCTTAATACATGTGGAATGGCTCCCTCCAGCACATCGTGCATCAAGTCCGGAGGCAGTTGCACTGTCACATCAAAATAGGCAACATCTGTGAGTGGAGATTCATCTTTAACGCCGTACAGTGCTGTGCCTAGCTGCCTATTTATTTTAGCACTTGCAACGTGGTTTTGGTGCAAGGGCAGATTTCGAACCTGAACATCACTCTCGTGAAAGGCAGTGTTGAACGCCGAGTTTGGTGAAGTACAAAATCTGCATGGACGACCACGGCTGAAAGAACACGTGAATCCGCCAAGTCGATTCATTGAAAGGTTATCACCGGAAAAGGCAACAAGAATCGCTCTCACCTTTACCGCAACAGAGTTCTTCCACAGAGTGAAACCAGTCATCCATAAAGCTGATACGTCATCTACAACTGGCTTCAAAATAACATTGATTCCGTGCTTGATGACAAGTCTATATGGTGCAACTAAAACTACATGGATAGAGCTGAGCTGTGATCTGTATTTGGCATGGATGTTTACCACGCTGAAATACACGACAAGGATTTTGTGAACACCCCGCTTTGACCCCAGCGGATTCACTATCTCCACTTCGTCGCTGTACAACACAAAAAAAAGCGTATACTGCGCGCCATCCTCGAGTAGTGCATGCAACTTTTCTTTGTATATGCAGCCATCCCTAAAATTATGCAGCGTTGGTGAAGGCGCTCCTGTTGAGAAATCTAGCTCTATGTGGTCGCGGAAGTTCTCAGAGGACATAAGATTTCGCATGACACCACTTATAGGAACAAACTGAAAAGTCTCACCAGCACCAAGATCACGCACTTCAGGCTTTACGTAGGGCAGGTGACGCTTGGCGAATTGCTCTCGCTTATATTTACTACTTGCTGCTTGAAAAATATCCTCTAAGAATTCACCAGCGAGTAACTTGCGCAGTTCGATTCCTGCCGACTCCATCGCGATGTTATTTTCAATGACAGAAGCGAATGTCCGAATTATGTCGAGAAAGGTAATCTTGAAGTCATTGAAAACACTTTCTGCCGTAGAGTGCGGTAGCTTGTGCACTTCTGCAACACGAAAAAAAAGTAAGCACAGCTGTTTTTTTATTTTCAGCACGAAGTCGTTGATTGTGGTCACTCGAGCAGTGGGAACAGAGACCGCATCGCATTCCGTGTTGATCATGTTCGACGAGCAACCAGATGAAAACATTTCACTGTGATCACCCACTGTGTCGTGCGCAGCGCAGCTTGTTGTGGCACGCACCGGTGGTTCTTCGAGGACTGTTGGTTCAACACCGGCTTCCTCTGCGTCATCCATGTCCATATATCGTCTGTGCACACGGTAAATGTGCCTTCGATAAGATTCGAACTCACTGTAGGTTTTCGCACACCCATCCACACCGCACATGATAGAAAATCTATTGTCGTGGCGATGGTCTCTTATGTGCCAGACGACTTTGCAGAGCTTCGTGGACGAGAACGCACATCTTGGGCATGAGTGTAACATGTTCACTCGCGGCAGTATTTGCGTACAGCCGCTGGGCGGTATTCTGGACTAAGTACGCCGACGGCTCACCATGATTACAGGTAGCTACATGGCAGACGTAACTGCAGTTCTATCCGTAGTTTTCACCAGCCGAACTGGGCCAGCATGGCTTACCATTTAGGACCAAAAAGTTGACAAGACGGCGG